TAAGATTAAATATTATATGATTATCATGCGTTACTATTATAACACTACAATTACAAAAACAGCTATCATCACACCATGCGACCATGCAACATATATTACCACCACGAACACATCAGCATAACTTTCAACACAATAACAATCATCACAACCATGCATGGTTTCTGCTGATATAATCATATAATCCTATAACTATCGCCATCATCACAACCACTAACTACCGTATTTACTACCATACCATGCAGAAGCATCATCACAACCGCCACCATCACCATCAAAACTATATCACCAGCATCACAACAACCATTTATGATACCATCATTAGTATCAGGTGTGACAACTATTCACAATCAACGATGCACAAATGACTATATATTACTACCACAACAACTACATCAGAAAGGTACCAGGTTAGAATGCAGTACTTAGAAACATGCAGGAAATTTATTTCTGTTTCACTACAGGGATTTAGATTTATAAGAAGATAAATAAACATTATAGTGTCAGAAATATAATGTGGTTCGATTTTTGATAATTTTAGTTGTTGGCGCAGTGACCATTTTGTATGCGTTTCGCTCTTCTGGATACACCACAGGCATGGTACGTAGTGCTGTGGAGGTTCATGCTCAGATGACGTCTGCTGAAAGAATTTTGGCTTACACTGAGATCGTACCAGAGAAGGGACGGGCGATCAAGGAACAGCCTCCTAAAGATTGGCCAGAAAGTGGAATCATACAATTTAACAATGTTTCACTTCGACATTATAAAGATGGACCTATAGTTTTGAAGGACCTGTCATTTGAAATTAATCCAGCTGAGAAGATTGGTATTGTTGGAAGGACAGGTGCTGGTAAATCTTCTTTGGTTGCTGCACTGATGAGAATTGGCGAAACTGAAGGAAATATTATTATAGATAGTTTATGTATTGAAGAGTTAAATACCCTATCTACTCGTCAACGGATTTCTGTTATTTCTCAGTCTCCTGTACTATTTAATGGCACTATCAGAGAGAACATGAACCCGACAGGTGAACTTGATGATTCTGAAATATGGAATGTTTTGGATCAGATGCAATTGGGCATTCTTGTTGGAAGTTTACCAAAAAAACTGGATAACGAATGCACTGGTGGTGGTTCGAATTTTAGCGTTGGTCAGCGACAGCTATTTCATCTTGCAAGAGTTTTGTTGAAACGAAACAAAATTATAATCTTTGATGAAGCTACTGGGAAGGTAGACCAGAAAACTGCTGGACAAATCCAGAATGTTATTCACGGCGTGTTTAAAGATTGTACAGTAATAACAATCTCACATCGTATGGCTACGATACAGGAGTGTGACAGAATTATGGTGTTGGATCAAGGTTCAATTGTTGAGTTTGACAAACCAGATGTTCTACTCAACAAGGAGAAAGGCTTGTTCTTGGAACTCACGAAAATTGCCAATGAAACATAACTTAGTAATTCCTTCTGTGTTTGGAATCAGCATATATAATTATAAAACTTTTCGTTTAGGAAACACCACGTAACTACATTTATATTTGGCAAAGCTTTCGATCCGTAATCCACATCTTCATGAGTACCGAATAATGTCGGACTAATTTAAATTCACACCTCCTTTTATACTCAGGTTTTATATATATTTAGAATATAAAAGAACTTGAAACGAATTGAAACTAGACTTGTAATATATTTGCACTGTTGATGATCCGTGCTAATGATTCTTTGCGGTTGTTATGCATCATGCCAAATCGAATAGTAAGACTAATGTTATAGATAGTTACGAACCGTCTATGAATTATTTAACACCCCCAGAGAAGAATAACTAATACGCACAAGTAAACCAAACAGAAACAAAATGATTGTGAACAGACGAGGTAGGTAATCTTCGAGTTAAGCCCTTCGAGTTAAGCCCTTCCAAACCACACCCATTTTCGTCAAAGGCTTAACTGGAAGAAAGAAACACAACTTAGAAAGTTTGAGTTAAGCCCCGTGAAAAGATAGGGGTTTAACTCGAAGTCACTTAAAATATTCGACGCTCGAGTTAAGTTTGAGTCGTCCACAATCTAGCTGGAAATAGTTATCATACGTCTCGGCCTAAATAAGGTGCAGCCTAAATGAGTCACGAATCGAACAACTCGTATAAACAATCAATTTTCATCAAGTAACAGATTTTTTTGGACTAACTTTTATACCTCTGAGCCCATTACGAATAAATTGACATCTTAGGCGAAATAAAGACTTATTATCGCTGGTATAAATGGCTCTATTATGACCATTAGTTGGCCGTAAAGAGCGACGCAACCACGCAAATCGAATCGCAAATGGCATTAATTGGTTATATTAAATCCCAAGTCGAGTTTGTCAAATGTTTGGTCAGTAGGTCTACGTGTATAGCTACGGTGTAGACCCTGGCAGAAACAACACCGCGGAAAAACGTCTGCGCATGCACCAAATTATGAAAATATGGCGGGGAATTTGAATATCAATTTCTAAAACAAAAACATGCTTATTAATTGGTCAAAAATTAGTAAAACAAACGAGAAAATATAGCAAATGGGCAGACTAAACATTAATTGAAAGCGTCCTAGCATTTAAAGTATGGAATAAAATATAATTCATGTAAAAAAATGTTGATTTTAACGGATACGACTTCGAAAATTTTTGCAAAATTATTCAAAACAAAAATTCGAACTCAAAAGTTAAGAAAACTCTCGAAAAGTTAAGCTTCTTAACCCACTCAAATTGTAGAATAAATCCTAAAGTTTAATTATTGTGAACACGAAATTTTTTTATATGTGGCGACACAGTTTTTTTTAAAGAAATGTATCTCAAACGAATATTCGGAAATTGTCGTTGCTTAGTTGATAAACAAAATGTTTCAGACGATAAATTTGTCAACAATCACCTTTAGTTCATGTTCTTGTACAATACAATTTCTTGAACCTTCTGGCTGTGTTTATTCCTAGTTTTTAGAATGACATGTTTATTTTTGCGCTCGAAATCTGGCTGTAAAGACGGACAATGAAGTCACTCCTTTTTACCGCCATTTTGAGCTTTCGGAAACGTTCGGAACAGCTTCTCATCAAGTTCGTAATACTATTACAGGTAAGGTTGACGCATGCGCAGACGTTTTTCCGCGGTGTTGGCAGAAACACGTTTCGTGAGGGACCGGTTTGACAGCATTATCACGTTTTATAGACAATGCCACGCTGTTTACGTTTAGTGTGTCACTCTTTTACATTTTCCGGTGCTGTAATACTTTCTATGCTGTCAAACCAATTTGCCGGAACCAACACGTAGGCCTACTGCATGGTCAAACATTTGATAAACTCAACTTGGGATATAACCAATTAATTCCATTCCAATCATAGTCGAGATTTATATTTAGCATCATGCATGCTTTTTGCTCGGCAACTAGGGAGATTTGCAGAGATTTTATGTACTATTTAAAACATGAGCAGCAGTGTTTTATCAGATATAAAGATGGTCTGATAAAACACGCACTTGGAATGTTTTAAATTGCTTCAAAAACGATCGATCTAGTATAAGTTCATTGGAGAAATAGCTTTCAAAAAATTCGTTGTGTATGTAGAGAAAATCAAAGTTAAAGTTTATGTAGGCCTAAATCAAGGGAAATCTCTATCACATATAAAGGTACACGTTTATGGTTTTTCTTTGTGGTTTTTCCTCATGAATTATTAATGAGTTTTTGAAGCTACTTTAGATAACAGTCACAACACAGAGCTTTTATCTTTTAAAAGGCTCCTGAACCACGGTTGTTTAACGTATTCTGCCCTATAGCAAATTAACTGCAAATAACAGTTGAGCATGTTTTGAAATGTTATTCTTAAAATCATATACTAAAACTGTCTGTACGTACCAGTGTAGGTAGTACCAATGTAGAAATGCTGTGCTGAGTGGTTATATTACTACCTTAAAAGATAAGCAGAAACTCGACGTTTCGAGCGAAGGCCCTTCGTTATGAGGTGCCGTTACCGCCAAAATTCAGAGTGCTTATTTTTTAAAATGGAGGCAATGTTTTTTAAAATGGAGGCATTATTTTTGAAAATGGAAGCATTATTTTTGAAAATGGAGGCCTATTTTTAAAATGGAAGCACTATTTTTTAAAATGGAGGCAATATTTTTGAAAGTGGAAGCATTATTTTTGAAAATGCAGGCATTATTTTTGAAAATGCAGGCATTATTTTTGAAAATGCAGGCTTTATTTTTGAAAATGGTGGATAAAATTTTTGAAATGATGCTCTCAATTTATGGTTTATTTGATGGAATTTGCAAGTTGATACCTTTATTTTTGAAAATAATTGATGTCGTAGTTTAGGATTCGAAATTGCAACGTCGAATTTTCAAAATGGAAACTTTTTTATTCAGAAAGAACACCTACCACCGGGGATTTATCCCCGGCGCCCGAGGACTGAGACTAAATTCAAAATGGCGCTGAATTCAGAGACTGTTAGTGCGGATGAATTAAAAAGATTAACTGTAATCAAGCTTGAATATATCCATTCTTCTTTGCAAAATAACAGTTTAGAAGTGAATGAAATTCTTGAGGAATTGGAGCTTACATTCGAAGCATTACATGTTTTGGATTCTAATGTAAGAATACCTGAAGACTTCTTTCGTGATTTACTGACCGCCAAAAGAATCCTGGAAAAAAATGCCAAAACATGCTCACGAACCCCTAAGGTATTCACTGGAACAGCTGGACGTCCTTCCTATGAAATATCCAAAGAGCAACTCGAAGCTCTTTTGGATGTTGGGTTTAATGTTGGTCAAATTGCTGAGATGTTACAAGTTGGAAAGCGAACAATTGAACGTCGTATTTCTCAATTCGGTGTGTCAGCTCGGGCCTTTAGTGGTATCTCCAATGACGAACTGGATTCTGTTGTTCGTGAAATCAAGTTGTTTTACCCAAACCTTGGATCAAAAAACCTCGCCGGTCACTTAGCTTCCCGCAACATTAAAGTTCCACGAGCACGGATAAGAGATTCCCTTAGGCGTGTTGACCCCCTAGGAGTAGCTGCGAGAAAGTGCCAGTCAATTCATCGCAGGGTGTATTGTGTCTCTCGTCCATTGGCTTTGTGGCACTTCGATGGAAACCACAAACTTATAAGGTGGCGGTTTGTCGTGCACGGTTGTGTCGATGGTTACACAAGAATTCCTGTATTCTTACATTGCCACACAAATAACGAAGCAAGAACAGTCCTTCAAAGTTTTTTATGTGCTGTTCAAGAATGGGGTTTACCGTCCCGGGTTCGATGTGATCAGGGCGGAGAAAATGTTGATGTTGTTGAGTACATAATCAATAAACGAGGCACCGATAGAGGTTCTGCTTTGGTTGGAAGAAGTGTGCACAACCAAAGGATAGAACGGCTGTGGAGAGATGTCTACAGGGATGTGTTAGATTTATTCTACGGTATTTTTATGTCAATGGAAGATATTGGTTTGCTTGATCCAATAAATGAAATAGATGTATGGTGCTTACACTACTGCTTCTGCCATGTGATTAACACAAAACTGAAATCATGGGCTAATGCATGGATAAGACACCCTTTGAGTTCTGAGCAAAATAAAACCCCACTTCAACTCTGGGTTCAGGGGAATTTTGAGAATGCAGAAAGAGCTCTCCAGGATCAAAGCATGGTAGGTGATGATTATGGTGTAGACTGGGATGGTCCGGCAAGTTCGGATGCTTATTATGAACAGGGTGTTGAAGTTGCCGAAACCAACAGTCCTTTATCTCAGCAACAGTTGGATCAACTTAATGCTGAGTTCGTGCGGAATTGCCCAATTAATCCTACCCCCTTGGAGTCTGTCAGTAGCTATCAATTCGTGAAAAATTTTACATTACAATGTATCAGAGATGAAAATATCAATATTATTGTGTAAATACATCTCTGCAGCTTTGTATACATGTGAACACAATTTCAAGAGCAGCAACTTGAAGAGACAGCATATTATTGATGACGGGACTTTAAAGTTCCATGAGGTCTGCAAGGGGCGACATCCATACTCAAATTGCCACACAAAACATCATTTTGACGTTTTGAGTGGATGGGTTTTCAAGAGTCAATTTGACGTATTGCGCGGCAGTTTGAATTTTTTTAAATCAGAGAATATTGAACACATGTGCAGAGATTATTTTGGATGTATATGTAGAAGTTAACTCGAAGTATTTGAATATTTTACTGTACCAAAGGCTCAGGTTGACAATCTTGCCAAGATCCCAGCAAGATCTTAGCCAAGATCTTAGCAAGATCATGCCAAGATCTTACATAAATCCTGCAAGATCATGGAAAGATCTTGCATGATCTTGCAAGATCTTTCCAAGTTCTTGTGCAAGATCTTACAGGATCTTGCCAAGTTCCTGGAAGATCTTAAGATCTTGCAATTGCAATGTGAGTATAGAACGCAACAATGACAATGTGCTTTAACACAACATAAGCTTCGTATTTGTTTATCTAACATTGTTAGTGTTATATTAAAAGCAGTATATTAAAATCTGGTAATAGTTCATAGTCTAGTAAACAAAGGGTTCGACTCTAATTATGAACTTTAAGTGGAATGAATGAAAGCATCATTCTCAATTAACAGAATATTAAAAGCAGCATGCTTTAAAATGTTTATAACAGTTCAAGTAACAGTTCATACTGTAATAGTGGTAATACCAACTGAAATAGGCTACCCCCGGCTATTGTTAAAGTGCACCTAACCTCAATTTTTTTAACATCTCATTCCAAAGAACCTTTGAAATTATATTGTAACTTATTTTCTGCATTTCTGTTTGCACACTTTCAGTTTTATTGATATGCAAATGTCCGGAATTTACGTCACATACGAATAATGACTGATCAAAGAATGTAAGCCACAGTTAAATATCATGAAATAAAAAGGCTAATGGTATTTAATACTCCCACAACTCGAAACGTCAACTTAATGAATAAAACTCAATAGTGAATACGATATACACGCTTTTATACTTTAAATCATGCATTTGAGACATAAATTCCGGATATTTGCATACCAAACTAAATGAAATATCTCGGAAACAAAGTGAGAAAACGAAAATCTTCAAAATAAGTTATTATATACTTCCAGAAGTTCTTAAGAATGAAAAAATAAAAAGAATTGAGGTTAGGTGCACTTTGAATTAAAGAGGTGGTATAGAAATTAAAGCTTCCCAAATCCATGGCACTCCAGGAGTGCTTCCCTCATGAATTTTGAGAATTCTACAGGATCTTCAAATCCTCTTGGCAGGAAAAAATACAGCCCACATGTTGATGCATAGGGACGGCGACGGCTATTTTCCTCAAAGTTGTAAAAATCAACAATGATATTCTTACTGAATCCTAATGGCGGCAGACAATCAGCCCCAGTGATAAATACGAGAAGATCTTCAAGTGATAATCCGGTAACATCACCCTCTTCCAAATCTTGCAGGAAAATTTCAAAGCAATAGATAGTACTATCCTCCTTGCTTCTTTGGTTGGACCCTTCTTCTGAGCTGTTGATCTTGTACAATTTCATGAATGATGATTTCGTTAAAGATGGATTTTGGTTACCCAAGATCAAATCAAACAACTGCTTGTTTTGTAAAATCATATCACCAAGCTGACCAATGGAATTTAATCCATTGAAGAATTGTGACACCTCTGCATGGACTCCATAAACGAAATGTTGTTTCAACAATGACTCAATCATTTCACTTTTATTTGATAAATTGCAACAATAGATTTTTGGATAACCAAATTCTGCAATTTTGTCACCATGCTGGTTGACCAATGAAGTGAAGGTATCCTCGGATGAGCAATTCATGAATTCTTGCAACATGCTTTTCATTTCCATATCATTAACAGCATTGACACCATCTGCAAGAGTAACGTGAACAGATTGCTGCAGGTCATAACCAACTGATGATAAACAACGTGGGCCACTTCCTCCATGCAGGATGCTCCAAGCAACAAGCTTTCCTGCTAATTCATAACGGCTGTCTGCAAGGAGACCAAGGTCATGTGAAAACCAAGATCCATGAAATATAGAGGATTCACTTATTTCACGCATCAACAACCGGAAAAATTCCCGAGTCGGACCTCCGTCATCGACTGCTTCTTCTCCAGCAAACGCAATAATAACCCGCTTGAAGAATGTAAATCTCTTTCTTCCTATCGCTCTCTGGGTCGAGGAAAACACTGACTTTCTGCTGACAGTTATGTTTGCATTTAAACTAGTCGATTCAGAAGTGGAAATGTTGGTTGACTGAAAGACATTCAACAACTCTTGTACACTTTGACTCTCCTCTTTGGTATCTGTTTTGGTCAAACTCTCTTCGATTGCCACTTGAAGTTGTGGGTCATCATTGTCACTTATATCATCATCGATATCGATAATACTTACGTAGTTTCTGTATTCCCCATCAGAACATTGATTGGATGTTCCTGCAAAATATAAAAAATATCTGAAATTTGCAGTATCCCAATATCCACAAGATACCAAAAATTTGGTTTTGGTACCAAACGTACTGTGAATGACTTGTATCCTGACTGTATACTAAGAAAATTTCAAACATTTATAAGAAAACGTTAACCCATTAAGCTGGAGAGCTTCCCCATTGACGAACAAAATCATCTGGCGTTAGACAAGTAAAAAAAAATGAGTAGGGGGCACATTGCGGCACAAAGTGTTAAACACCTTTCACAAGCTCCTGATGGCTTTTGAGTGCTATCGGTTTGCTACGAGTATTTCCTCATTGAGGACTACATGTCTAGGTGGTGATCAATGGTTTTTGGAATTAAACGTTTTAGTTCTAAGTTTGTACCGCCAAATAACACTGATATATACCAAAGCATATGTGAGAAAAGTTTTGGTAGTTTGAGATCTTCGCTCTCTTCCTTGTGAAAAATTTACTCAAAAGTTACATGCTGTTTTTCGAAAGATGCAAAAAGCAGGGCCGCCGAGAGCTTGGCGTGGGCCCGGAGCAAAAGTTTTTTTAGGGACCATAATTGCAAAAAAAAATTTCGGACAATAATTTCTTTTTATGTAAAAACTTTTTCCGGACAAGTACGTTGTAATTGCTTTCGTGGGGCTTTTCCGCAATTTTCCATACCAAATTTTGGTACTTTGCACCCAAAACATAAACATTTCGGCCCGAAAACAGAAATATTTCGCCCAAAAAAATGACTGGGGCCCAACGTTAAATTTCCAGGGGGCCCCAGAGCCTTGGGGCCCGGGGCAATTTAGTCCCCCCCCATGCCCTCTCGGCGGCCCTGGCAAAAGGCCATAATTATGGTGAACGTAGAACCGAACCATTTACTCAGAAATAATCCGTTTGTGAGTCGAGTAGGTTTAAATCTCATCTCACAACATATCAAACTATATCACCTTTAAAGAATTGTTTAGTTGTTGACTGTTGAGTCTCCCTGTTGTTATTGTAATTTGTAACAACTGGTGAGTCATGGAAACCTTGGATGGCCCCAACCTCGTACCCAGGGCTAGTCGCGAGTTTAAGTGCCTTCAACTCGCGACTAGACCTGGGTACGAGGTTGGGATGGTACAGCGTATAATACTTATGGTACCAGTATCCAGAAGTGGTATACTGGATTCTCAGGGGATACTAAACTTTGAATGAATCCTGGTGTCTCAGTTGGATAGTGTGAAAAAAATTATAAATTTCAGACCCTATATCAAGATACAATATAGAGCTCATCATGGAATATCCACCAAAAACACATGCTGTATGTAAGTCAATTTTTAACTTGGATTACTGACTGTATTTATCAGTATTGTCGGCACAGTCAGTCTTTATCATGTACATTTACATACTTACTGGTACTAGTGGTAACAGGTGTAGAAAGATGATGTTGACTCTCAACCATTTCATTAGCTTCATCTCTTTCCAACTGAAATGCTGGCCTTTCAAGAATTTCATCTGGAATATCATCCTCATCATCTTTTGATTTCTCTAAATCATTACAATATGGATCAATATTTAAATTTCTTCTGCCATCAAACATTTAAACTACAGGATTAACCCATAGAGCCGAAATGTGCCCCAGTGTGCCCTACTTATTCTTTTCCGCTTATCTAACACCATACGATTTTACCCTTCAGTGGGGAAGCTCTGCAGCTTGATGGGTTAAAGCACAAAATAGCTACAAACTTCACTATCTTAGCTAGCTATTAAACCACAATTGTCCCTATCACTTCGGACCATTGTATGTATTGACTTGATCAAAAAATGTTATACAACTAAGTTTTCTTGGAAATTATCTTCATGTACTATTTAAAAAACGAGCAGGAGTGTTTTATTAGGTTTAGGCTTTAGACCTAATAAAACACGATCCGCGAGTTTTTTAAATGACTTCAAAAACGTATGCATAATAAGTCAAATCTTTATATAAAAATCTTTATATAAAAATCTTTATATAAAAATCTTTATATAAAAATCTTTATATAGTTTGCATAACAATGGTCTTTTGTTAAAGTGTTCTTTAGCTGGTATAAAGACGTATGCACGTGACTAATTTCTTACTCAAGATTGGATAATTGCTTCATGAATTATTAATGAGTTTTTGAAAGTGTTCTTAAGAATCGTCACATCAGGCTCATGATGTTGACAGCAACGTAATGTAATGAAGTGGGAGCGGCTAAAAACACCTCGATATCTGATAGTGATTATCCCATCTTATCGATGGGAAAACACACATTTTATGTGTTGGGGAAACGTACCATAGTACATTTTATATGTTGGGAAAATGTTTCATAGTGCCCCTTCAAGGTGGCTTGCTTGGTTGGCAGATGAAATCATGGGCACTCTTTGATTTGACTGATGCATGGGGCACTTTCCATTCACACGGCCAGACCTGTCAGAATGGTCGGATTGTATAATGGAACACAAAACATTTGGGCTTCGGGTTTATCTGACCGAAAAATTTAGATAACATTTGAATGAGGTTCATTTTCGCTAGATATTTGAGAAACATAGACCAGATCCTTCCATTGATACAGAGAAAAACAATTTGAGACTGACCGATCAGGCTATTAAATGGAAAGCGCCCATGGAGTCTGAGTTATAATCTTCCTTAGTTTACTTAGAACACAGTAGTACCTGTTGGTTGTATTTCATCTTCAGTGCAGATTTGATGATGCTCTCTTAAAAGATGAATGTCAACCATGAGACAGCAATTCATGCATTGCTCTTTTTCAACTTCAACAGCTTCAACTTCATCTTCTTCAATAGAGAGATCTTGTTGAATGGGCCGGACATATATCTTTCCTTGAGCAATGAATGATGCCAGGTACTTCATTGAGATACCATCAGGCCCTGGAGGAATAACAGAAAGATCTTTTTTTCTACACTCAGTATACATAAGTTCAAACCCACCACTGTCTTTAAGCTTAGGAAATGATTCAATCAATATGTCTCTAATAGCCTTTTCATTTGCATCTTCTGGTATAGCTACTTTAATTTCGCCAAGCCCATGGACTAATAACTCTCGCATTTCTTCACGTTCAGGCACCTCCTGCTGGTCTTTGTCTGATAAACAGACAAATTTTCTTGTAAGACATTTCACATTGGATTTCTTATTATTCTTGCCATTATGTTGATTATTTTTTCTTCTTTTTCTTGAACTTGAGCCAGAAGTATTTCTCTGACTAGAAGTTGAGGTAAAATGATGAGGGAAAAGGGTTTGCAGTTCATTATGCGTCCTCGACGAAGTCGAAGCTCTGCTTGCAGTCACTACAGCAGTTTCATTTACAGAATTTGTTGAAGAATTTAGAACATTTGGAATTGGCGTTGTTTGAGTAACCGAGTTGCTGTTATTCGTTTGGTTTGGTGAATTCGAAGCATTTGGTACTGGAAAACTGCGCAATCGGGTGGCTAACTCGCTAAAAAGCTGAGCAACATTTGAATATTCTTCCGCCATCTTTATAGTTTAATGGCGCGAATTTAATTCACTGATCTATATACTAAGACTGGATAGCGGGTCCATTGTTGTTGTCCATTGTCCATTTTTTTCAATTCAAAAATAAAGCCTGCGTTTTCAGAAATAAAGCTTGCATTTTCAAAAAAAATGCCTGCATTTTCAAAAATAATGTCTCCATTTTCAGAAATAAAGCCTGCATTTCAAAAATTTTATCCACCATTTTCAAAAATAAAGCCTGCATTTTCAAAAATAATGCCTGCATTTTCAAAAATAATGCCTGCATTTTCAAAAATAATGCTTCCACTTTCAAAAATATTGCCTCCATTTTAAAAAATAGTGCTTCCATTTTAAAAATAGGCCTCCATTTTCAAAAATAATGCTTCCATTTTCAAAAATAATGCCTCCATTTTAAAAAACATTGCCTCCATTTTAAAAAATAAGCACTCTGAATTTTGGCGGTAACGGCACCTCATACTTCGTCAAGAGTTAGTAGCAGGGATCGGGGAAAATGCACGGGCTTTTATACTAAGTGTATGAAAGCATCACGTGACAAAAAAATAAACCAATTAGATAGATTTGATCATAACAAAGTGTAAACAAAATATGTAAATCGCATTACAGAATATAAAATAATATAATTAAAAATATAAAAATATACAGGAAGTTAAGACAATTATTACAAAAAATAATCATAACAAAACACGAGTGGGAATAAGGTAAAAGTAATAAATAGAGGTTGTCAATGTCTGCTATAGACAGGCAAGGACAGATGGCATCATTGATGGCATTAAACATAAGAAAAGCGTTCATTAATGCCAGAAGGGTGAACAGTGCCAAGTTTGGATATGAGGCGCATTTCATGTCGTTTGCGGCTATCGTTGCTTCCAGAAATGGGACGGAGGGCTCGAATTACCATATCTGAAACACTGTGATTGCCATTATTAAAATGAGCATCGGCGTGCAGTTATTGGCAATGATGCTAACCAACCTGTTGCCAGACATTTTAATAATGGCAATCACAGTGTTTCAGATATGGTAATTCGAGCCCTCTGTCCCATTTCTGGAAGCAACGATAGCCGCAAACGACATGAAATGCGCCTCATATCCAAACTTGGCACTGTTCACCCTTCTGGCATTAATGAACGCTTTTCTTATGTTTAATGCCATCATAGACAATGTCTTCTGGATTGTCAATGATGCCATCTGTCCTTGCCTGTCTATAGCAGACATTGACAACCTCTATTTATTACTTTTACCTTTTTCCCACTCGTGTTTTGTTTTGATTATTTTTTGTAGTAATTGACTTAACTTCCTGTATATTTTTATATTTTTAATTGTATTATTTTATATTCTGTAAACTGTAATGCGATTTACATATTTTGTTTACACTTTGTTATGATTAAATCCATCTAATTGGTTTATTTTTTTGTCACGTGATGCTTTCATACACTTAGTATAAAAACCCGTGCATTTTCTCCGATCCCTGCTAGTAACTCTTAAACGAAGGGCCTTCGCTCGAAACGTCGAGTTTCTGCTTATTTTTTAAGGTAGTGATATAACCACTCAGCACAGTATTCTTAAAATCATCATCCAACCTCATAGCTGCAATGCCAAGTGATGTAGCCTCAACTATCTGGTCTTGAATTATACTTTAAAGTGAACACATAACAAGACAACTATAAGGAATATTAGATCCCTGCTCGGGCAAGCTTTGATTTTCCGATTTTCCGTATTCCGTTAGGAAGAATCGCAATAACCGGCGTCTTCACCACGTAGCAAATTAATAATAGACTTTTAGGTCGTTGGATGAGGGTCGAAAATGTTCAATTCCGTAGCACCCCTCGTGTAACTACATAATTTGTACATGAATCTATAGATTATAACTTACTTAGTTATAATCCACTTCCCCCCAAGCGAAATAGTTGCACAAATTGAAGTACAAGCTGGATATAGATTCATGTCTCACTAATAGGGTTAGCGGTTAGGGTTAATTTAATTTAACAAATTTTATTTGGATCGATATTCACAATTTTTAACAAACAAAAGAATATAACAGAACAAATATTACATTAAGTTAAAATAACCTAGATATCAAATGTAGATCCAAAAAGAACGAACGGGACTCTTATAAAAGGTCCCATGCAGGGCACCCACCTCCAAAATAGTAATCATGATAACAAATAGAACATCGCGAACTCAAACTCGCTAAAGGATTCAGGCAAGCAAAAAATTAAATGGAATAGTTAAACTCGAAATTCAAAATAGTCACCGCTTCAGAGAGTTTGAGTAAACGTGGCTCAATTTCCTGAAACTGGGCGTGTCAAGTAAACTAAGAGACAGATTGAACATGCATGTAAAGGTAAAGGCCAGCTTCCATACATGAAGATCCTCCGCTGAACAGAAACGGCGGGAGAGCTTTCATTGTGTTAAATTCACGACGTCCACGTCATTCGTGTTGATTAAATTCATTTAGTTCGAAACCAGAGGTTCCAAACGAAATCTCGCAAAACAAACTGAAAACTTTCCCGTCCACCCCGATCCTGAAGACCCTCCCGAATGGAGACTAGTCTTTACATGATAGACAGAAACATATTACCGACAGAGACAGACAAATATACAAACACGACAAACTGACTTAACTATTTCCTGTGGCAAGGACAGTCCCGTATCAGTGACCACGTACAAGATAACTCAACATCATAGACTGACTTAACAAGTTCGGTATATTTACGTTTAAGATAGTTTTTAAAGGAGATCGGACTGGAGAATGTATCTGGATGAACGTCTTTACATATACAGTTCCATGGTTTAACTATCCGGTTGAAGTATGACGATTGAAAGGTCGTTGTTCTACACAAGGGTGTTTGAAGCACAACACTAACAGCTTGACTGAGTCTAGTGCGTCTATGTTCAATGAATGAAACATAACTGTCCAGAAGAAAACGAGATCTTTGATTTCTCTGTCGTATGTGAGAGGCAATAGTTTCAATGACATTAATCGTCGTTCGTAAGGTATTTCACCAGTCTTTATTCTTAATATCCATTTTGTCGCTCTCCTTTGAACTCTTTCAATTCTTCTGTTGAGTTGACTGTGATGATTTGAAGACCAAACTTGTGTTGCATAGGAGAGTTGTGATTTAACTAGTGTCAGGTACAATGAACGTCTGATGTTGACGTTTGTTAATGATAAGCATGTTCGTTTTAGCACACCAAGTTGTTTATTAGCTTTCGACACGATCTCATTAACGTGAGTCTCCCAGTGAAGTTTGTAGGAGAGGGTTACTCCAAGATCTTTCTCGTTTTCAACTCTCGACAAATAATTTCGACCGAGGTGGTAGGGATAGGTAATTGGATCTTTCTTACGTGTCACCGACAGTACCTTACATTTAGAAGCGTTAAATGTTATGTTGTTGTCTTGAGTCCAAATATCTAACTTATCTAAGGTCTGCTGAAGCTTTTCACAGTCCGTTACCGATCTTACGTCCTTGTAAACCTTCATGTCGTCTGCAAACAGCGCTGGAGATGTTCCATCAGTCACTTCAGGAATATCGTTGATAAAGATATGGTTAGGGTGGGGATTAGGGTTAGCATTATAAATAGCGAGACATGAATCTATAACCTACAAGCTCTTCAAAGTTCACGCTTCCTCGTGCTTCGGAATCCATGAACCGCCATTGTTGTGTTGCAAATACGCATGCGCGTGAGCACAAAACACGAAATGCGCACGCGCAGATAAGAAAACTGATCTCAATCTAGGACTGGACAAGAAAAAAATTATGAAATGTGCGAAAACAGGGCTGAAGTTAGCCTGCGAGCAGGCTCTCTGGGTGAAAGAGAGCCTGCAAGGATCCCTATAATATTTACGTGCATGCGTCCAATATTTGGACGCAGAGCTCTGATTGGTTGATAATTGATTCAAATGAAGTGATTGACAAGCTTCCATAAAGTACACTTCCCGTTTGTAAAACCGAGCAACGCAAAGCTTCGGAATTGCGGCAATGTAGAGATTTGTATCCCTGTTGATTTTTTACTGTAAATTAATATAGTATTCATATAAAGACGAGTACTAAAAGCTTGCATGCTTTATTGTGTCCAGGGCTTGTCTTACTTCTAGGCTAAGAAAAGACTGAACAAATTCGCAAACCGAAACCTAGGGACAAGGCATTAATATATCGCTTCTCTTTCATGAAACAATATTGAGAATTATATATTCTGATAATATTCAGTGCATATTGTTTGTATTAAGATTGTTTTACAATGTTATAGTCGACGATTTAATATGTATAAGTACGCGGCGTTAAAGTGTACCGTATGAGTAATTTACTCGTCACTTTGTTTACAATAATTATCACATGCATGTTTACTGTAATTCCACCTTTTGATGCAAAATTTGAACTATAAACATGATTATGTCCAATGTCCATGGTATATCATATATGTCTACGTCTCACCAAAGCCATAAATTTCAGTAAGTTATATTAAAAATATTACTATACTGCATATATATGTATATATATATATATATATATATATATATATATATATATACATATATATATATGAAAGGGTTTCAGGCATCATGTCTGGGATATATTATGTAACGGTTCCTTGTGGATGGAATTTCAACAGACATAAAATGTTGTTATATTTAATATCTAGACGTTTCGCCGATCAAGGCTTCTTCAGTAGATAAAAACTTTACAGTAATATTACACACCCTATTTTTATACTGTACGTCAATAATTATAACTTTGTGTGACTTGCATGTACGAAGGAATGTAATATTACTAAAATGGCGAATCATTTTCTTCGCAATACGATAAGATGAAAGGGTTTCAGGCATCATGTCTGGGATATATTATGTAACGGTTCCTTGTGGATGGAATTTCAACAGACATAAAATGTTGTTAACCCTTTCATCTTATCGTATTGCGAAGAAAATGATTCGCCATTTTAGTAATATTACATTCCTTCGTACATGCAAGTCACACAAAGTTATA